TTTTTACTGGGTGGATTATTGCGAAGATGTTAAGAAATGGTGTCAACGTTGTAAGATTTGCGCAGCTAGACAAGGACCAAGTACTCGATCTGGAGGAAAAAAGGAACAAGATAACGTTGGACTGTCGTTCGAAAGAATCGTTAGGAAGGAAAGATTACTGGACGTTCATAAGGCCGTTAGAAGTAAGAGTGCGCTAGCCAGTGACCGGACGAAAGCTCATTACGACCTCAGAGCTAATTCTACGGGATTTCAACACGACGATAGGGTATGGTTGTATAACCCACAGCGCAAGAAAGGAAGGTCCCCAAAGTTAACTCCAACATGGGAAGGTCCTTATACAGTCATCAAGAAGATAAATGATGTTGTGTACCGGATTCAACGCAGCCCTAGAAGTAAGATGAAAGTAGTACATCTGGATCGATTGGAGATACCGGTCAGGAAACCTTGATCGGGACGATCAAATTTGAGAAGGGGGCAATGTCAAAGTGTATGTAGCGCTAAACTGTATTACTGGTTGCATAACTGCATTACTGCTACATAGCCGCAACGTGCATTGAGGAACCTGGCGAATTCGCCAGAAAGTAAAAGAAAATTACAGAATTCTGTGGAACGTTCCAGAAACACTCGCCAGGGGGTATATAAAGACCCGCACTTTGGCAGTTTGAAGTTTGATAAAACCGCGCTTTAAATTGTGAATTAATTGGCGAAGGTGCCAGTACTGTTAGAGTAATAGTAGTTGCATAAATTGTGTTGTAAATAGTATATGTTGTGTGTACAGAGTGAGAAAAAATAAATTCGTTAAGTATTTTATCGTGAGTTTAAATTAGTGGACCCACGGAATCCGTAACAGTACTATAAAAGAATTTTTATTTTTGTTGTTTATTCTATGTTTAACACAAATAAATGTTCAATACATAAACGCGGATTTTTCATCCAAAGATATTTTCGTTAAACGTATTACATATATTACACATTTTAATATAGCAACACTGTCGTTTTCAGATCCACACCGCCTTCGCTGGCCGAATTAGAGAAAATACGTATTTTATGCGTTGACCGCAGAACGATTGGTTTTTCTACAATACAGCACTTGAGACATAAGAGGAAATCAAATCAGTCTTGTCACGAATTGGTACATTAGGTTGTGTATGTTCCCAATTCTTTCAATCAACGTCGATATACTCATTTTCAGGTCACAAGGGTTTATTTTCTATTCAATTTTCTTTTTTGTATTTTCACTTGTTTGCTCTGCCATTCTTCGATTTTATTAATATTACTTCACCCCTTGGTTTTCATCCTCTTTGGGCCGCTTGGCTGTAAGTATATCGGATGCGTCTCAAAAGTAGCACACCCCTATAACTTTTTATTTTTTCATATGAAAAAACGAGATTTGGCATGTTAGTATATGACATAAATTAGGATTATTGACGTATTCCATTGTATTTGGTCACTTCCTGTTTCATCGGAAATGACTACAACTTTTAATTTTTAAATGGCATCCTCAGTATATTTTTACTTTATTCTATATAAAATGACATTCTGAATAGAATGGCATATATCACATGTCAACTGCATAAGTCGCACATTTAGCTCTGCTCAAGCGTAGTGCGTAAGCCTGGATTTTGAATTATCGATCGGATAACTAGACCAATAAGAGACTAGACGCTAGCACCAGCTGTTCATTCGTACGGCTCCGTCCAACTTCGTACTGCTTTCGTTGGCGCTCCCGTTCGACAACTAGCTAATCCTCAGAGTAAGGCCTAATCGACATTCGTAATTTTGGAGTTGCGCTGTTGCGCCAGTATCTGCCTAACAGACGAACTTATATGAAATATACATGGACCGGTTATCTAGTTGTCTCTAACTCGGCTTCAACTCCAACACATTGCAGGTATAAGCGATAATCTGTATATAATTGATATGTATATGCCCCCACAATAACAATCGGGGCAATCTAAAAGTTGTCTATGCCCAGTATATTCATAGAAATAGTAATGGCTGCATATTTTATAAGAAATATTGCAGCAAAAATTTCATGTAGAAAAACTATTATGGGATTTTTTTTGGATCACTGCGTCCCCTGTAGAATATAATTAGTAATAATAGGTTGTTATTTAACTATCTGTTATTTCATAACAATTATTTATAAATAACATAACGCAACCGTTACTACTTCTAAAAAATAAAAGATATAAAATAACGACAGGTAGAGATCGGCCGCTCGTAAAACGAAAAACAAAGTCGGCGCTCTGCACCGTCACGAAATTCTATGCTGCTCGAAGCAATTCCAAAAAACAACTAGTATGGATGGAAAACATGTTATTTCGTCAACCATCGATACAGGCGGCGAGACAACGGACAACGGATTGGGGAATGCGCTTCGGCGAACGTAGCTGCTTCGGTCGATACCGCTTAAAAATAATAGGATATAAAAGAAGCAGGTTTTTTGAAACAGTTGCGGGCATAACGCCTGGCGGTCGAGATAACAGGAGTGGGAAAGGAAAGCTGCTGCATCGGTCGATTGTCGATGGAGGCTCGCAACGGGTTGGAGAAGCAGTCATTTTAGATACGTTGTTTTTCAACCTGTTATGAGCATAACAGGGCGGTGGTCGAGATAATCGGAGTGGGAAAGGAACGCTGCTGCATCGGTCGATTGTCGATGGAGGTTCGAAACAGTTTGGAGAATAACGCATCAGTTATTTTAGAGAGTACATTGTTTTTCAACCTGTTACGAGCATAACGGGCGGAGGTCGAGATATTATGGCGCTGTATGTTTCAGTACTTACTTATTAAGTTTCAATATTTAGGTATTTATTTATTCTGAAAAATTTTCAGAATAATATTTTAAGATTTTTTAAAAATGTATACAGGGTGTTTTGAAAAATCTGGTGATTGATTAATCACGATCCTGCTTAAAGCCCTTGACGTAAAAAGCTGATTTTTGGAAAACGGATTGACTTTAGGGTGTAGAGGTTCGATAAGAAGGGATTTTTCGAAACTCGAATTTTAAGGGGGTGAAACTACCCTCAAATATTAGAATATTTTTTATTTAAAAACCGGTGAGTTTTTCGGAAAAACTCTTAAAACACGTATATTTTATTATGTTGTTTTACATATATTCAGATTTTTAAAAAATATATACAGGGTGTTTCATAAAATATGACCATTGAGTAATCACTATTCTGCTTAAACTGCTTGACGCTTAAAGCTGATTTTTGGCAAACGGATTGACTGTGGGGTTGAGGTTCGATAAGGAGGGGTTTCTCGAATCTCAAATTCCAACAGGGTGAAAACGCCCCTCAAATATTACAATATTTGTTATTTAAAAAACGGTTAGTCTTTCGGGAAAACGCCTGGACACGCATAATTTATTTTGTTTTTTTACATATGTTGACATTTTTTCAAAAATCATACAGGGTGTTCCAAAAAGCTGAGTAATTGATTAACCACGATTCTGTTTAAACTGCTCGACGTTTAAAGCTTATTTTTGGCACATGTGAGAAAATTTTATCCAGTCTGTATGTTAATGGAAATTCTTATTTTGCTTTATCATCACCATTACAAATTATTAATTCGACACGAACGAAGTCGCGGGTACACGCTAGTTTAAGTGTAAAATAAATTCGAACTCTAGTGTGTAGTTGGTTTACTTATGAAGAATATACTACACATTTTCTTATATTGTTATTTTTTGACCGCAAATGGTAAAATCATAACTAAGAGCTTCTCGCCCGTCGAGTAAGATGCACCCTGTACACTGCTACTCAATTCAGGATCTACGCGGATCGAGGGGCAGGGCGTAGGTAGATCGGAATGTATAGGTATAGACGGGTGGCGGAATTTTGGCTTTTTTATATCGCAATTTGTAAACAGCGCTTATTTGTAAACAACCACCGTTTTTAGAGAGGTATTTTAGATAACAATCGATATTTAGAAATGTTTTGGCACCCTGGAAATATTACCACCGAGCACGTCATTGTTGCAACTTGCAACTGCGTTAATACGCCTGGCTGTGACCGCCTCATACTTTCAGATATTTAGCAGTAAAATAAAGAAACCTGTTATTTTTAAGCTGTTATTTTAAGCTGTTTTTTATAAATAACTATAACAGTTTCAACTGTTATCTAAAAATAACAGTTTTGCCCATCACTAAAACTATGTATTGATATTATGAATAATTTTGCTTTTTTGTATGAGGGGTCTAAATAATATGATGTGTGAATATTATATTTAAAGCCATATTTCTTCTGTTTTCTTAAATACATTGTGTTTTCTAAAGCTTCAACTTATTATAACCTCAACTCAAATCTTCGATATTTGAAAGTTACATACATAGGTTACATAAACTACACCCTCTACATAAACTACATTAACTACATGTAATGTAGTTTATGTAGTTTTTAAAAGTAACATATGTAGTTTTCCGAACCCTGACTGTCATTACTCGCTGACGAGTATTCGACACGCATCAGAAGATGCAAGGCGTTGTTTCATGAGCTTTTCTGTAACTGAAAAGCCCGATACATGATGTTATTTGCCTACCGCACTCTGGACATTATATTATCCAGACATATAAGTTATTATAATATTATAACGAATAAAAATATTTTACTGATACATAAAATAAAAATGCTTTCTTAAAAATATTAACATGATAATTGGTTTGTTGTTGGCATCAATGCCTAGATTTTTATATACTATAAATAAAAAAATGCATCCAGTTGGCTTGAAAATCAGTATTGATTACATTCTCATAAAAAGTTCCATATAAATTAGCCATAAAACATTTTTGATTGTAAAATTATAATAATAATAGAATTAATTGCACTTAGATTACAAGCTTATTAGCCACAAAACCCACCTAATAAACCAAAGTTCTTTACTTTATCTGTCTTAATTGGAACAGTAGATCACACTATAGACAGACATTACTTAAAAATTCTGTTCCAGTAATCTGTGATATTAGGAAGAAGAAATATATTTTAAATAATAATATTTACCTTCTATGTTCTGCCTCCATAAGAGACCCTTGATGTTGCAGAAGCTGAGACCTTCTATAGTTAACTTCGGCTATTTTTAAAGCTTGTTTTAATATTTTTTCTGCTTCAGTAATAGTTGTTGCTTCTTCTTCAGCTAATAAGATGTAAGCTGTGGCACAATCAGGGTTTTTTTCAAGAGCACTGTGTGCTGATTTGAGCCTAACTTGTGGATTTCTTTCTCTCCATGCTGTTTGCATGATTTCATATTCAGCCTTGCCTAAATAAAATTACATCTCATATACAAATTTCATTCAAAATATTAACCTAATAGGTACTAAATAAATATAACTATTATTATTATTAAACATAAATGCACCTGCATCTGCTTCACATGTAAAAAATGTCTGGTGATCTTGGGCTGATAAATTCATATCATAATATGTTAATGGCTCCTTATTTGTTGCCCAATAAAATCTTTGATATTCAGCACCTCGATATAAATTCAAAGGATTTCTCCAAACCTTACATTCTGGAATTGCAGACTGTGTTAACTGAGGATTATTTACATTATCATCTCGGTAATCTCCACTAATCCAAGGACTTATGTGGTTAATAGAAACCTATAGAAAAAACATAGCTTTTAAACTTAAATCTTTTTTTCTATCTACCACAATATAAGTAAATTTCTCCGGAAACTAGCCTTTGTGGAAATAAATATTTTAAGAATGAGGTACCTATTTTTGTGTAGTTGTGTTACAAATACAGATATTGACACTAGAAACTATGGATCGTTAAACACTTGAAAATACCTGTTCAATAAAGGACGTTCCATATTTTCTAAAATACCACCATTCAAAAATTAATATTAAACCAGATATAAGTGATGATGTTCCAGTTAATGCAACATAAAATTTTGGAGTTAAGGTATTTAAAAACAAAGAGGTGTCCCACATTTTTTGTCGAAAAACTAAAAATAATATTACTAAAATCTTTATGATGGAGAATACTTCATTATTTTACCTAAGATTTCTAGTTTTTCTAGTTATTGATCACAGAAGGCAGAAGTCATCCCGTCATCCTATATTATGGCAATATTGGCAATGTTTGTGGTAAGCTCTTGTTTTCTATGAGAAAGGTTTTTGCAATTTTTTTGGCAATGTTGATGTTGATATAGACACAGATATAGATCTTCGGCATAGATAAAGAATACATATACCATGGAGAAGTAAGAGAGGACGCTCTGACGCGCTACAGCTGTGGCGAAAACACGACGCATGCCATATTGGAGAGTACGTTTCTGTCATTTGAGCATTAGTAATTTAATAGTTTTTATTGATAAATTTAAGGAATTTGAGAATTTAAAAAAAAACGAGAAGGTCACGATATACAAAAACAGATTAAGATTACAAAGGCGTGAAACCATTGTGGAACCGGTGGCTGACCTTGAAGTCCGTATTTGCTGCATTTGATCATAGGGTTATGATCCAGAGATATGGAAGTGGGAGAATGAGCTTCGACGAGTGCGCATCCAAATTTTTATCGACGGCAAGATGGCAGACATCTCCCAGGTCTCGCTGTCACTTCCCCTCTTTAATTGACATCTGTTTGTTTTGTTTTTTTTTTCGTTTGTGTTGTTATCTAGTTAAAATTTATTATTATCTCAATTATTCTAAACACTAATTCAAAAAGGCTTGTTGTATATTGTCATAGTCATTCTAAGAAAGCTAATACGCCGGGAAAAATTATTAGTTTTCATGTGTAAGTTTATACAACATAATCGTGTTTACAGATGATCCAAAACTGTTTATTTTTAGTTTTCCTAAAGGCGATTTGTAAAAATCGTGATTGTAATTGGGAATGGTCAAAAATAAGTGTATAATGTGGCCATTTAAAGAGGATGTTTTTATTACGTGTGGATGAAGAAGATACTTGGAATCAGTGTTCGTGCTTCTGTAACAGTGCACTCTTATAGTGTCCATGAAAGCACAAGTTCAAGTGTACCAGAAATATGTCAAATAAGATTGGTCCTTACTTGACAAGAAGATTATTTGGAGGAAAAGAAAACATAAGATAGGGTATTTTAATCGAACAGCGAAAATTTAACATTTTTATTGTAAAGTTTGTTGTAGGTAGTTGTAGTTTTGTGCTAAATATTTCTAACATTAGCAGCAGCAGTGTTCAGAGTGTCAAGAGGAGGAGAATTTAGTTAATTAGATTTATGCACAGTTACAGGTATGGAGGCTTTTTCAAACATAGTATCAAGTTCTATAGTCAACATTTTTAGTATTCCTACAACTGTAAAAACAAAGAAAATTGGACTGAAAAAATAGCAAGATTTATATAGGAAGAAAGGGTATTATGCCAATAAGAAAATTAAATCTGTAGGCAGAAGTTTCTTATTTAAAAACTGTTATGGGGCATATATTAATTTGTATCTGTACCACAAATCACTGAGAAAAATCATATAATATTCATAATTGTTAACGAGATAGTTAAAGAGTGTTAAAAATGAGACTATTAGTCATGAAGCTTACAATGTTACTTTGTTTCAATATTACACTTTTATTCTGGTAAAATCTATGATGAAGTTCAAAAGCATTTTGCAATGGCCTTAAATTGTGAGCCAGGATTTATAGCAAAGGTATTTGATGCAATGAAACTTAATCGGTACCTTCCAGTATGTATTTTAGTAAGGAGATTGTCAATCCCATGTTTTTAAATAGATAAAATACAGGCCAAAGTTGACAATATTACAGTTGAGAAGAACTATTTTATCTTAAAAAAAAATTTCTTAAAATTCTGAGATCATATAATCTAATTTTCTTAATAATAAATTAGGTATATGTACATACAGAATTTTGTTATGGACAAATAAGGATCGACAAGCTTCTTTTGTGCAAAAAATAAATGATTTTTTCTAGTATTACGACAAACCATAATGTGTTTTACAAACTTACCGGTAACAGTTTTTGTTTATAATAAAATATTTAGGAATAATTTGGGTTGTTTATCAATATATTAATGACTTGAATTTTGACAAATCGAATTTGTATCAAAATAATTTTACGAAATATAAAATTGATGTTCTATTACAAGATTGAGTTTTTATTGTCGACAAAAACCAGGATAAATACTAATAATAATACCCTTAATAAAATCAATGATGTTTATGTATTATGAAAATATTTGTTAGAGGACATGTTATGTAACAGTTTTTGAAACATAATTTGAAGGGACGAATAAAAAAAATAAAACAAAAACATATTTTTTCTAGGTTTATATTAAAAATACAAGGTAGATAATCATCAAAAATAATTATGAACCAAATGTTTTTTATGAATATACAACTTGAACAAAAAGTTGTTTAGAACAATTTTTACCAAATTTGCAAAAATTTTAAATTGAAACGCGTAATTCAGTACAAGTAAACATGAAATATTGTAAATACTTATTTAATATCATTTCGAGTGTTTTACGACGAAAAGGTCATCTGTCCGTAGCGTCTTTTGTCAGAATATTCGTATATTTAGTGTATTATATACCAATATTGTACGCAGTTTTGAAACTGATAATTAAATAAATCATATTAATGTTAACTAACCATAATAAATGATAGAATTTCACTAAATTTAAATTGCCCCCCGTATGGTTGAAAACAGCAAATTGATATTTGATTACTTATAGATTACCACCTATATACAAAATGACACGAAAACCTGGAATATGGCGCCCAACTTGATTAGACCTTCTGCGCATGTTGACGCTCATTCTCTATCCCTTCTATTTCTCTGTTATGATCACAGATATTATGCGTAGGGATGTTGAAAATACATCGATGCATCGAAAACATCGATACATCGCATCTATTCGTTGTATCAAATGTGATCAAATACAGTACGTCTGTCCGTTCTGTAGCTACGGGGTATCCGTGAGAGGGGAAACGATATTCTCTCGATGTTTTTCGTAAAAAAACAGACGACGCGTCCCATCAATAAAAATTCAACAAATTTGCCAGTAGCCAATAAAATGAGTGAGCGGAGCGATTTGCGGTGACGCACTCGTCAAATCGACGTATAAAATATATTGCTGTTTATTTAAATGTTTTTTGTCCGCATTCTTTTCACAGACACATATCCAGCAGATGTACTGTACTATACGATATATCCGATGCATCGATGTATTTCATTCGATCATAACATTCGATGTACATTATATATTTAATTGGCTATACAGGGTGTCCCAGAAATGAGTGCAGATATTTTAACTGGTAGTATAGTTCAACCCCAGAAACACGCCTATGAGGTTTTTTTTGCGAAAAAAAAATGTTGAAAATTTTATATTTTTCTTGACATTTTCCGGAAAATGTTGAAAAACTTTTGAGTGCCACTGTTCACTCCCCGGGAAATTCGTTTAACGGGCATAGAGAGTGTCGGAGAGAATGCAACGTTGCCATCTCCTACCATACCCACATTCTGCATGTTTATCTATAAATTCAATTATTTTAAGTTGCTACAGAAAAAAATACGAAAATTAATTTTATTCATATTAGTGTAGATTGCTCTACTAATTCTAGTGAAACGCGCAATATTTTAAATACTTTTTACAGTGGAGTAAACTGAAAAAAATAAATCTTAACAATTATAGCTTCTTTTTTCGCCATATTAGAAAATATTTTCAATCGTTTCAATAAACAAGTATAACCTTTAATGTTTAGTTAGAGCTTACCCTTTTAATGAAAGTGTTTTTATCCAGCACACATATACGCAAACACATACACACCAAATATCTATTAAACTGAAAATCACAAACCTATCACATGCTTATCACTTTTAAAATATTATTTAAAATTTTTCACATGATAATAATCAAACACTAAACTCATAAATACAATAAAAAATGTTAAAAAAACTTGCTTTAATAACTACTTATATCCGGAGGCTGATGGTAGACAGTCCGGGGTTTTCTTCGACATTTCTTCAAAACCGACGCAACCCCGACAACGATTTCGAAAACACTGAGGCCCGTATTTATAGTTGCATCTCGAGACGCCAAGACGGTCTTGGGCTCTCGAGAGCGGAATCCACAGAATACACAAGCAAACGTCATTTTGGAGATTGCGATTTTCATTTTGGAGATTGTCATTTTGGATAGTTTATGTTATCTGTGGATAGTTTCTTAACCTAACTTTTTTAGTAAACAAAATAAATCCCTTGCAAATACGAAAAGTCAGACTGCCTGCAATCAAAACTAATGCGCTGGCAAATTGCACCTTCATAGGAAGCAGAGTCATAGAGCTGCCACAGTGAGGGAGGCAGCTCATCATTACCATACCATACCCTTGCAACTTGCAAATCCGTTTTGTCTGCTGATTAAACAGTTTTGAATATGTTAGAAGAGTTTGAGGATATTTTGGACCATGTGGAAGAAGAAAATCGTCTTCGAGTTCCAAAAAGATATATACGGGATGCAGGAAATCCAATAGAAATGTTTAGCGAGGGGGGATTTATGCCGATATAGGTTTAACAAGGCTACAATTACAGAAACTATTTTACCTCTTATAAATTGAAGACTTGCAAAAACCTACCAATCGTGGTTTACCCATTCTCCCCGTTATTCAATTACTAATTTGTTTACGGTTTTATACGACTTGTAGTTTTCAGATATTAAATGGAGACATGCTTGGTATTAGCCAACCTACAATAAGCCAGATTATCAAGAGGGTGTCCATTTTAATAGCAGAACATTTGGGTGAATTTGTATGATGCAACCATAAATGGTTGAACAGCATTATTATTCCAATGATACTGCCTTCAGCTTGTGCAGATGATAACAACAAATGGGATACATATATTAAGAATATAGAAAGAGCTATAAATACATCTGTGAATAAATCCACTGGCGAAAAAAACTCCTGAATTATTATATGGATATATTCCGAAGATTGAAGATGGATAAGTGAGATTATTGACGGTAGAGAATGAAAAGTATTCAATTACCTGAAAAATTGAGAAAAGAGGTCAAAGAACATATAGAAATGGAACAAAGGAAGTATAAAAAAATTATGATAAACATATAGATTTAAAGGTATCACAAAGATAGGAGACATGGTCTATATGAAAAGTGCTACTAAATATAAGGGACTATTTACAGTGACACAAGTTCTACCCCATGACACAGAAAAACACATAAACAGAAGTATTTAGAAGAATATGTTTAATGTTTAATGAATACTACTTTTGGTTTATTTAGTTTTGAATAGTTTCATAAATTTTTAAAATCTTTAAATATCATAAATTTAGAATGAATATTTTTTTTATTGTTGTAGGTAATTTTTAAGTTAGTTTTGTTAATTAAGTCTTGGAGACTAAGACATAGTCAGGTTGGACGAGTGTCAGAGAATAAATTAAATTTATAAGTAAAGGCAAAAATTGTCAGTCACTGATTTACGTAGCAGACTAGAAAAAAAAGAATAGAGAAGAATGTCATCTAGACGAGAAGAAATAAGGAAGCAGTAAAAACGCAATAATCATAGAATGTGTATTGTGAAATATTATTCTAAATAAAACTATAAAACATGGAGTATCAACTTTATATAGAGTGGTCAACTCAATAAGAATACAGAATTTACACCAAGGAATAAAATCTTGAAAATTATAGGTATACGGTATACATCCAATATTGTATATTATGTGATATGATATTTATATAAATATTCATGATGAAGAAAATAAAAAGACAATTTTTTTAGTTTTAATGTATTAGTGGGAAAATTCTGTGTGACCAGTTAAAACAAGCACTTAACTGTCTGGTCATAGTGAGCGTAAAACTACTAAGAAATCATATGTTATTTAAGTATAGAAAAACAGTATTTTTATGATAACTAATAATAGACTATAAGAAATTACTTAAAATATGTTACATGTAAATATATAAACACTAACTTAACACTAATAGAAAAGTAAATAAAATTATTATATAGGTACTAGTTACCTTGGAACATTACTTAACATATTACATAATTACTAGATATACATATATTAATACAATAAATACATTAATTTGCAAAATGTTGAATAAGATTTCTTCAAAAATCTAACCCTCTTCCTTTTTATTTATAATTGGAATGTGTAAATTAGCATCTTCAAAATTATCTAAATTTTCCCTTAAACCAATATTATGAAGAACAGCTGTTGCACAAATAATAGCAACAGTTGTTTTGTAAACCTCGGAGAAATGGAAGACGTTTTTACCAAGTCCCAAATAGCCTTTCAACATTTCGCTTTCTTCTATGGGCAAAGTTATACCTGGTTTCTTGTTGATTCCTAGCTGTAGAACAGAAGTCAATAGAATTGGCCTACATCTATATGCATTGTCTCCAAGAAGTAAATCACGAATATCACGCCTTTCCATTAGCATTCTTAAATTACTTCGATTGAATATAACACTATCATGACTTGACCCTGGATATCCAACTATAATATCCATAATTTCCCTTTTGGGACCTGAACATTTAGACTAAAAAAAATTTTTGCGATTTTGAAATACTTCCACATTATTGCATTATTCTTGATTATCTGGCTTATTGTAGGTTGGCTAACACCACGCAAGTCTTCATTTACCATCTGAAAATTACAAGTCGTATAAAACTGTAAACAAATTAGTAATTGAACAACGGGGAGAATGGGTAAACCACGATTGGTAGGTTTTGCAAGTCTTCAATTTATAAGAGGTAAAATAGTTTCTGTAATTGTAGCCTTGTTAAACCTATATTGGCATAAATCCCCCCTCGCTAAACATTTCTATTGGATTTCCTGCATCCCGTATATACCTTTTTGGAACTCGAAGACGATTTTCTTCTTCCACATGGTCCAAAATATCCTCAAACTCTTCTAACATATTCAAAATTCAAAACTGTTTAATCAGACAAAACGGATTTACAAGGGATTTATTTTGTTTACTAAAAAAGTTAGGTTAAGAAACTATCCACAGATTACATAAACTATCCAAAATGACAATCTCCAAAATGAAAATCGCAATCTCCAAAATGACGTTTGCTCGTGTGTTCTGTGGATTCCGCTCTCGAGAGCCCAAGACCGTCTTGGCGTCTCGAGATGCAACTATAAATACCAGCCTGAAGGAATAAGGAATTACAAATTACAAATTTTTATTTAGAAATTTTTTACCTTAGTGTCCTCTACTGGACTGATGTATTACTATTATGGGTCAACGTTTTGGTGGTTGTATAAAGATAGATAAATCAATTTTCTAAATGTTTAATGTATGGAGTATGGATATCCCAAAAATAAAATAAAAGTACAAGAAAGGGTATATCCAAGAAAGAATTAAGGTAAAATCAAAGAGTATTCTACGTTATCTAAAATATAAAAATATGGGAAGCCCCGACAAAAATCTGACACCTGATATCAAAGTGATAAACAAACATCGGCGCATGCGGCAGCGAGCACTTACACTTAATTTTTCAGTTCATTGCTAGATGGCCTTTTACTAGGGATGCACTGCAAACAAATATTCCAGCAAAACTAAAGTGTTTTTTCTTATTCTAAATTCTAACAAATAAATAAACCTGTAAAACTGTATAAATAAAATCGGTCTTCGATTTAAAAAAAAAGATCGATTATACCAAAAAATCGTTTGATAAAAATCACGTCGATTTGATAATAATCGATTCGAATCGTACATCCCTAGTATGGTGTGTAGTTTAAGGTTATGTTTAAGGTTAATCGTGGGTTATTAAACTCGCACAAAAACAAAACAGAAAACAACAAAAAACAATGCAAACAATGCCAAATAAACCTGTAAAAAAGTACTTTTATTATTCAAAATGAAATATCATATAATTCAGTTGGTATACGAATATTTTTTGATTTATTTATAATGTTTGGTGTCAAAAATATGTGAGAAATGAGGTAAACAGTTTAAATGTCTTAATAAATTCGTTTTTAATTTATTAACCTTTCAGGTATCTACCTAATGGTAGGAAGAAATTAATTATGTAATGGTAGGAAAAATAATTTCACTTTAATTATGTATTAGAAAATCAGTAATCTTAAATTAGGATGCATCAATGGAGAAGAAGGCAATTGTAATCACAATACAATAATAGATCTACAAATACCAAGCAATACATTAAATCAAAAATCTCAGTAAGTTTTGTTTTACATGAAAATAATTATCCCATTTAATTATGCATTAAATTTTAGTGTCAGCTTATTGATAGCTCGATTACCAGTCAAATAGTTTCGATGTTTTCTATACTATGAAGAAAATTTGATCTGATTAGATTAATTCAGATGTAAATTTATGTTATACGGTAAGATATTTTTAAACAAACGAAGAAAGTTCTCTTCAGACAAGTTCTGGTCTGAAATTGCAAGTATTAACGAAAAAGTTATACATGTAGTTTTCTATTCATAAATGATATTATTGATTTTATTCTAGGTGAATGTATCGAGTCATATATTATGCAGAATATATTGTGAAAAATGGTAAACTAACTAAAAGTGCTAACAAAATTTCTTAGGAAGTTATCGATATACCTAATTATTAGAAGCTGTAACAAATGTTCAAAGAGTCAGAGTATACTTTATTAGAAGTGTGTTAGATAGAATTATACACTTTAAAGAAAATATCTTTTATTATTGCAGGTAATGCATATTGTGTAATGCATATAATATGTGAAATCTATTATTACATACAAAGATTGAAAATTATTTAAACAGCTACCTGTATGTTGTCTCACAATCTCATTTAGTGAATGGGTTATTAAAAATTGAACATATTTACACACAGAATATTGTGGATATGGATATCTGGAAAGCATGTTATAACCATTTTTATTTTTAGGATTTATGAAATGATTACATAAATATACTAACAACAAATTGCAATGCATCTGTATATTAGAGACAAAGATGAAAGAGAGTAACAAGAATATATGTATTCAAAAGAAAAATATCAAGACCATTTGTAGTAATTAAAATTAAAGAATAAAATACATAAAATGTACCATATGATCGAAAAAAAAACGGCGTCCAGTTGGCTGGGAAATGACGATCAATGACATTTCCTATATAAATTTACATATAAAATGACAGCGACCTTCATTTCATAGCCATCGTTGACGCCGTTTTTTCTCGATCATACGGTAGTTTATGTGTGAACAAATTCTCATTTCATATAAAAATTGGAGCTCTATCTAGAGTATATTTGAATATAAATGTTTTTATGTATTGGAAGGGGGACTGTAGTTTTCAAATATAATAAAGAAAATAGACTAAAAAAACATGTGTGTAAGTTCTTTTTTAAACTATTCTGTAGTTACGTAAATGTGTTTCAAATAGGTTGCTTTTCACAATAAAGTCAATACACAGTAATTATGCTTTACTTTTTCAAAACACACTCTTGTTTTTTATTATCAGAGAGTTATTAATATTAGAAAATTTAGTTACATGAATATAATAGGAGCAAATATTATGTTTCAAGTTTCAAGTAATTAGAATATGATATGAGTCATAATAGCTTAAATATGATTGCTCATAAAATACCTAGTATATACACATTTAGATATATCTCTTTAAATATAAATTAGTATTGCCACCATGCGATTAATGGGAAATACAATATGGTCGTGAAAAAAAAAACGGCGTCAGCGATGGCTATGAAATAAAGATCGCTGTCAATCTATGTGTAAAATTTTATGGAGAATTTCACCGACCGTTATTTTCAAGCCATTCTGGACGCCGTTTTTTCCGACCATACGGTATTTCTAGGTATGGAATTATGTCTCTAATATGTAGTTAGGTAATTTTTTCCATTTGCCTATTGTTAATTATAACGTCGTCAAACTATAAAATTTGCTATATTTTTTAGTTAATTTTTTTTAGTAATATCAAAACATGTTTTGAATAGTTTAATTAGTAATAAAGCTACTAACATGTTCAGTTATTTTTTTTTCTATAAAGCTTTTTTGATAAAAAAATAAGTATACCTGCTAAGACGTTAAATTGCCTGAGAAATTACGATCGATGCCATTTACCATCCACTTTTACACAATAAAATGCCATCGATCGTAATTTCAAAAGCAGAAAACTTGCCGCCGTTTTTTCCAATGAAATGGGCGGTGGGGAGAAAATTACAGATTCCTGTATTATATTAACGACTAACGACATTATTAATCGCATGTACACAAAGCATGTACACTATTAGAAATCGATCTAATTTCTAATATTATCGAGCTTTTAAAATTCGAGAAAGTGATCGGAGATTGTGTTTAAAGTGTTGTGAAATGTTCGTTAGTGCATATTTTTGTGTCGGTAATCGGTATCGGTATAGGCAAATCACGATGGAGTATAGAAATCCGGAGAAGGTGGATATGCTAAGAGCATAGGTACTTTCTGGCAGGGGAAAGCGCTGTAGAAGCTCGGAGACTTTATTCCGAAGAGTATCCGAATAGATAAATCCCTAATGCTCGAACCTTTGTAAGTATGGTTCAGCATTTGAGGGATTCGGGAAAAGCAACGAAGAATTGCTGCAAAACGTTAAAAATTCCATGCTCAGAAGAAGGAGAGCATGTATTGGAAATGGAGGTCGTCATTTTGAACAATTATTATAATAGCATGCAGTCAAGAAGCGAAGGGTATACCGGGTGGTGCATCATCGTTGGAAATATAGGATATCCCATGCAAATTTTGAACTGTCGAGATATTGGATCCCCTTGTGCAAATTTGTAATGTATCTTTAAAAACCATTTACGATTTAGCTCTAAAATTAATAGGGGAGCCAATATTTCCACAGTTGAAAATTTGCATAGTGTTGTTAAGAATTGTAGTGAAGTGATGTTATTAAGTGTAGTGTTATGTGCAGTTTTAAGAGTGGTAAAATGGAAAAAAAGAAAGCTCTGCAGTTGTATCTCTCTGCTATAGGGATATCTTTTTTTATTGTTTGGTAAGTTTTTTTTCTTTTAGTTTATTTTGTGTAATGTGAAAAGTAGGGCTACTGGCGATCACCCACTTAAAAAAAGTAACGCACCTCTGCAGAACCTCTTGGGTGGTGTGGGATTTTTCAAGTACTTTTTAAGTCTTTCTAGTCGATGTGGCAACAGCGGGCGGCGAACAAGCCGAGATCCGCGAGATCTCCCCCCGCGCCGGGGGATCCGCGAGATTCCCCGGCGGCTCTCAAAATG